GTAGACTATCACTCACCCACACCAGATGGAAAACTCTACAGACTGTCGGTTCACACCCCATCATATATATATATATATATATATATAAGGTTGTAAATCTTTTGGAGATCTACAACCCGATTTTTTTTCAATTATGTTACGATCCTGGCCAATTTCGAAGTATACATTCATCTGAAAGTACAATGCCATCCAATTGCAAAAAGAAATGAATGAACTTGAGAGGAAAGAGAGGGAAAGAAGAAGAAGGAGAAGTGAGAAAGAAGAAGATGAATGATGTGCTGCAGCATAGACCAATGTCAAGGCTCTTCTTCTTCGCCAACCAATCCCTTCCTCCTTATCTCCTCCCCTCTTATTCAAACAAGAAATAACAAAATAATGTTGAATGACTGAACCAGAATCAATGTCCGAATCCCACTTCTACTGCAGGCATAACATGAGGTCCAGCATAGCCATGGCAACCCTTCCACTTTTTCTACATACAGGCTGAGGCTATGGCGGACTACTGAGGCTTCAGCCTCCTGTCCAAAGGATAACCCAAAGCAGCTATGCCGCTGCCCCACTTCAAGGTCATCACCTTGCAGCTATGCCGCTGCCCGCTCAGCCACCATGCCTGACTCTGTCCCGAGCTTCCTTGATGCGGCACTACCCCCACTGGGGCCTTCCTGATGCAGCGCCTAGCAAGGAGATGAAGATGGTGTCTACCATAGCCAGTAAGTGCCTCGCCACTCTCCTCCTTGGTCCCCTTCTTCCTCCTCCTCCTACCAGTAGAGCTCCACCATAGCCAAGGTGGAAGCTCCTGGCTTCTTCCTCCCAGCAGCGCTGTAGTACCCAGCGCCACTCCAGCCAGCGCTCCAGCAGCGTGTTGCCAAACTTGCACACTGAAGAATGAGGCTGGGCTCTCCGCCCGGCCTCTTGATATAGCGGCCTACTTGCCTCCAGGGCGGTGACTTCCAGGCCGCTCGGCCTCCCCAAGCAACCGGTACTTCCTCCGTTTCGGAGGGAAACATCATTGCAGACCCTGATATTGCCCGTACAGGCTCTAGACTCAGACTGGTTGGACTGGTACCGGCCTAGACCTACCCTACCGCTACTGGACTCTAAAAATGCCAACTTTGTCTTCTTCTGCTCAGCCTCCAGTACCCCCCTCACGCCAACTGCAGTGGGTTGCAGTATCGGCCTACCTACCCACTTGAGTGTTTTTCCGCTACCCCAAGGGCCGCGGGGCCGCTAGCTTCTCCACTTGAGTGTTCCCCTTGCTGCAACCCTCAACGCCACGGCCACAGGTAAGTACCGGCCCTATGGGCCTGCCAAACGAGCAAGTACCCTTCCGGGTCACACACACACTCAGGCAGATAAGCACTCAGACAGGCA